TGAAATCATACAGGCCTTTTGTGACACCTTATCCCTTACCGCTCTTGCATGTGGGGATAAAAGGTATCTTTCCGGGGCTTCATATGCCACTGCAATGTTTATCCTTCTTGTTCCTTTGGGCTTTGTGATATTCTCCTACTTTTGCATCATAATCTCAGTCTTTCACATGACCAGCGGACAGGTGAGCTGCAGCTTTTCGTAGCTTTTATTCTTGTTTCAGAATGACCTAACTGTGATCTGCTGCCCTCCGCAGGGCAGAAGGAAGACCTTATCGACGTGTGCCACCCAGGGCTGCATCATTTCAATCTACTACATACCACGCTTCTTCGTCTACTCCGCACCACACATTCCTAACATGCGGATGACCTCGGACAGCCGAATAGCCACAACATTTTTCTACAGCTTCTTCCCTCCTCTCATAAACCCGTTTGTGTACTGTCTGAGAACCAAGGAGATAAAGGCGATATGGAGCCGCTGGGTTCAGAGGCTACAGGTTGTTCAGCCCAAGTCCAGCAAAACGGCCGATGTCCCCAAAGTAAAATGAAAAACGTAAACCGTGTTTTTATTTAATGTATCTTTCTGTAATATATGTTTATTGCTACCACCTTGGTTTCCCAGCATTCTACCACTTGTCTCTAGAAAAGACGATTTTTCACTCATAACTTTTTGAAAGGTGAAGCTCAATAATCCATTGGGTTCCACACAGTACCCAGATGAAATGTTATCAAATAGATTGAAAAGCTTTTATTTATTATTTTAATTTCCTAATAGTGGTAGCGCTACTTGAATTCAGATGCATGATTGTTTATATTTAAGTAAATTTATCATCCATCAATTACTCTGTTTGGGTTTTCTCTCTTTTTTTTACTGAGACTTTGTGTATTTAGGTGAAGCACGGACAGGAATATGCTTAGAAGTATGTTTCAAAAAATATCTGAAGGCATCTACAAGTACAAAAATAAGAAATGTTTTGTGAAAGATTCTGGTAAAATATCCATCCCATTTACAATAAGCATATAAAGTTGCAAAATCCAATTCATTAAATGTTTATTTTACCTCAAAAAAGAGAAGCTTCTATGTACAAGTGCAGTTTGAAAGCATTGTTTGTTTTAAGGTTTTAAAGATGAGCTAATGTGTTAAGCCAGAAGATGGCAGTATCCTCAAACTTTTTAATCTGGAAATAAAACATAAGTGAGGTTTGAAGGGCTTTAGGATGTGTATTCATATGAACTGGTGTCTTTATTATGTGTGAGCATATTAGATTATTCTTGGAAAAATTGTCATCTTCCCAGTCTAAGCGACTTTTCAGGACCAAAATACTTTCTTTATTGAACAATGTTGACATTGAGAACCCAGCAATGACAACCGGCTGGTTTCAAAGGGTGACATATTATGTAAATTTGACTTTTTTAGCTTTACATTATGTTATAAAAATATTCTCTTATCAAAAACCTTGATTCATGCATGTTTAAAAAAGTCCTTGAATCTCAAGCAGCAGCCATTGAGGAGTGCTTAAAGGCTTAGTCTCACAAAGCGCTTGTTATTTTCACAAAGCTCCTCCAGACTAGCAGCAGCAGCAGCAATTAGCAAACACCTGGTGGAACTACATGTCTACTGAGCTCATCATATGTAGCCTTTCTCAGTCTAATGCTCCCAAGAATGGTTGTTAACGGCATAATGGAGAAACGTTGTCATGATGACGTGTTGGAAAGAGCAGGAGCTTCTTAAAGATACAGATGCCCAATTTACGAAGTAAAATTTATTTTAAATTCTGCTTGATATACACAGTGTTTTTTATTAAAACTGAAGGTAATAGAGTTACTTGATTGTGCTATAAAATTGCACTATGTCTCTAGAAAACACATAATACCGCCCCTTTAACACAAAGATGATCTTGACTGCTGTGTTTCTGTCACTGGTCTCCTCAAACTATATCCCAGTTTTCTCCAGTAAAGAGAGAATAGCGTCTTTCACATCTGGCACCGACTGCAGCTTTGTGGACTCAGTAGGAGAGAAGGATGAGAGGAGGAAGGGAAAAGTCTGCACAGGATATACAGTCATCACCTGTGAATGAATTAACCTTTCAAAGCTGCTCTCATACTGTTTTGACACGTCAAAGATTTATTTATGGGAGCTTTTTCTTTCATTTAAAACAACCCACACGGTAATGAAACCTTGTTTGTTCCCTGTCTGTGTCATTAACTTAGTACATGAGGCATTACATGTTTGCAGAAAAGGCTGACAGGAAGGCAGGCTTAGCTGGACCCTGTGTTCAACACAGCTCTGCTTGCTGAACTTTGACCTGTTCACTGCTGTCTAACCTGGACCCACAACCTTACATGGTTGATTGATGCAACCATTTGATCTTTTTCTTGTAGCTATTCAAGCTGAGTTTACACAAAAAAAGAGTGACAGAGAGTCAGTGCTCTCTTCCTCAAAGCCTGCAGCTTATTGTGCCGTAAATTGATTGGTCGTAAAATGGTGTGTTCACACGACAAAGTCCAAACTTCGTCAGGCCTCACGGGGATTCCAAGAATGTCAGTTCTCAAATATCTCTATAATGCACGACTGGGAATGTAACTCAAGAGTTGCATTGAAATTTTGTCAATTCATTCAACATTGTAAAGAACAAACATTCATTTTCTAGCTTTTATAGTTTTACTACAAGAAAACAAACACTTAGAAATTAATACCAAGTTTCTTCTTTTCACAACCTTGTGACCAAGTTTGATTATTAGACAGAGGCAGATTTATTTATTTCAGAAAATTCTTTATCCCTTTTCTAATATATCCCAGAACTAGATGTTTATTTGCAAACTTTAGTTTTTTTTTTTGGTGAGAACAAAGAAAAGATTTCTATACCTCCTCACCAAAATGACTTCTGTTATTATGCGGACGTGTTTTCACAGTTGAACAGTTCATTACCAACTGCAGTCTTTGAAATCCTGCTGAAGGTCTCCTGCATTCATTCATTATTTGTCATTTTATAGCAGTTCTTCAGGTTTTCTTCCTGATTTGCGTCAGACTGACTTCTGCTGCTTATATCGTCTTATTTCTCAGATGCATTACAAACTGAGAAATCATTTATAAGAGCTGAGTTATGGGTTACTGCTCTTAGAAGGCCCAGACATGGGAATGATGTTTCATTACGACATTATTGAAATAATGTTTAATTTAGTACACTGATGAAGTATTTTTTATTTATTTTTTTTTTTTTTTGCTAGATGTCAATTAATTTAGCGCCTGAGCTGCAGGGAGACTTTAATTTCTTTGTCAGTAATGTCTGTCATCCGGTTTATCTCAGTTTTCATGGTAACCAGCTGTTCTACTAGAAGTCTCCACTTTATCTAATGTTACTCTTAAATCTAGTGTTTTTCTAGTGTTACTGTGTTACCCGAGTTTTGTTTTTTGCATCATTGTCTAAAGTAGAAGTCCAAATATAATGTACATAAAAAGACATTTCCACAGATGTCTGGAATTAAATGCAAAATAAGTAAGAACAAAAAAAAAAAAAACACATGGAAAAGGAACAAATGGGTGGATGGATGAGAAATGAACAAAAGAATAAAGTCAGAAAACACAAATATTGTTTTAGACCATTTTTCCCCATACTTATCCAGATGTAAAATGTAATTTCAAAAACTTTCATTTCTTTCCAGCCTGTGTGTAACTAAGAGTTAATGGGCTGTGAGGAACGACAGAACAAAGTGCACTTCAATAACCTTTATTTAGTTTACAGATGTATTTTGAAGATTTGGAGGGGTGGGGAGAGGGAGCATTAGTGCTATTTACAACTGGTTTCAAAACATCTTTTTCTCTGTACAGATTTGAACCCTGATCAATATAAACAATATTTTTAAGACCTAGTGCTGTTATAAAGCAATTCTTTAAAGCAAAAAAAAAAAAACACAAAAAAATTGGATTACATTAAATTACAAATAAATGAAAAAAAAAAAACTGGACAGAAGAAAAGAGAATAAAAACCCATCAGTCCATGAACAATTAGGGAGGATTTGCTGCTGTTAAACACAAAGACATCGTCAGTGAGTGACTGTGAACTGGCTAGAGGCTAACCGCATACACAATCGCATCGACTAAACACCAATATAATGGATATCACCAAGATCTAAAATCTCCATGTTCTAGATAAAGATTCATATTAAATATATTCTACACGTGTTAACCTCAGTTTGGAACATTACTTCCATTGGAAACATAAAATAAAACCCATTTCATACATTTGCTTTAATCTGATGAAAGAGCACATGCTTCTGTTGTGCAAAATAGACTCATTAATGCTGAAGGAGAGGTAAGAAGAGAGAATTAAGACAAGGAGGGAGCGTTTTCAAACTTAAGGTGACGTCTCAGAGATTCTTCACAACACTGATAGCAAAGTGATGAGATCGGGATGTTGCAGGAGAGGGAGAAAAATTCACATAATGCTTTTAATAAATCACCAGTTCAGTTGGTCAGTAATACTCACGGACTGATAGAACCCAGTCTCCAAAGACGATGCACCGCCAACACTGGCTGGTTGTATACTTGCTTCTATTTGGCTAAAAACAGGATTATTTCTGCACAGGTTTGTTATTTCTGTCCTGCAACCTTTAAGGGCACATATAGAGGAGGGCAGTTAAAAAGGACACAGGTGTGTTCAGAGTGAGTGACTGAGTCCTGGTTCGAGTTCTCTGATCAGGCACGTTTTACACTTCCTCTGCTGCACCGAGGTGCTTTCAGACAAACACGTAAGGTTTCACACCCAGCGCCACCATTGAGGCTCTGATGAGCTCAGCAGTTAAAACTCTCAGCCGGTCTACATGAGAAAACAAGGCCACACACACAAACTTGGCCGCTGTGTTGCAACGAGAAGAAGCCGAAGCAGAGCTTCGGCCAGAAGCCGAACTCCGCTGACCAGCCGAAGATGGCGATTAGAGGTGTGACAGCGTATGGCAGAAGGTTTAGGAAAGAAGCAAAGAGAAAGAAAAAAAAACACATGCAAATCCAGTTCCTTCTTCTACTTTTCAGTTAAAAACAACAAATCAAGTACAGCATAGGAATCAACTGTATTGTTAATCAACTTCCTGCTCCCCAATTCGGTCTTGGATTAGCCTGAGCCTGCTGACATCCTACTTAACCTGTAAATGTGTGAATGAAGGTGGTAAGGAGGTGTGTGTGTGCGTGCGTGTGTGTGTGTGTGTGTGTGTGTGTGTGTGTGTGTGTGTGTGTGTGTGTGTGTGGGTGTGTGTGTGTGTGTGTGTGGGTGTGGGTGCATCCGGGTGGCAGACAGGCTCCAGGACAGAGGACAAGCTCATCGGGTCCAGGACATTGACGGCGTGAACGGACTAGCAGAACGGAGGGCTGGCAGCGCAGGTGTGTATTTACAGAATGACGCAGCAGTTACTCTCCCCAGTCTTCTCTCTATTCCTTTGACCTGAACACAAACACACACATAAAGCTCCATCATGCAGACAAACAATGACTCAGCAAAGCGTCTAATAAAAGGAATCGAGCTGCAGTTTAACCAACATATTAGTTAACCCTTCGTGGTCTACTCAGGATGGCTTAATTTATCCATAAATTAAATTTATGCTTTAGCTTTGATTAATACACAGCAATGTAATTTTGCATACTTTATATTAGATTTAAATTATTTTTAGAACCTGGGACATTAAAACCTGAGAGACAACAATCATCTTAAATCAACCCTACATTTTTTAAGGAATATTTATAAACAAGAGTGATGTTTTTCTATCAAAAATCTATTTGATTCCAACTAAAACCTGCATTTAATTGTTTTAAATGGGCTCAGTCATGAATCTACAGTGATCTACAGGAAACCTGCCATCTTCTGTGATTTACATCAGCTCTATAATCTGCACAATAAGCTGTTGTCTTGGGAGCTAAACCTACAAGTGCCAATTATTTGCACTACTGGCTGTTCCAGAAACAGAAACCATGTGTAGAAATAAATAATAGTTGGGAGTGGAATATTTAAAAGTTCTTCAGCTCGTGGAAAAGCCCTCTGAATGGAAACGGGGAAGATGGAGAGCTCGTTACCTTGGGAATTTGGCTCAGGCAAAGTCTCTCTGGCAACTAAATGCATCACCGTGGTCCTCCCCAGGGGCAGCTTGAGGGCTGGTGAGAGGAAAGAAGAAGGATGTAAAGGTCATTTTCAGCCAGTGCAATGTCATCCAACATCAGTATCATTTCACTCCTCAATAGCCTGCCAGAGCTGAGAACAAATTAAAACGGACTTGAAAGGGTTGGGCTGCATTGTGGAGAAAATTAAGCCGTTTCAGGCGGGCAGGTCTGTGGCTCAATGATAAAGTCTTTCTGACTGAAAGTTACAGAAATGGATGAAATATTATAAAGACATGTAACTAATAGCGCCACCTATTGACTAATTTGGCTTCTCTTTAGTTCTTTAACTGCTCAGTTTCTTTAATATAGGTGAACACTATTAATAAAAACTACTAAGAATTAAAAGTCATATTCAATTAATATGAGCTTTAAAGTAATATTTAAACATTTAGCATTTTTACAATTCTTCCCAAAGTTAACCAATCATTAGGAAACCACCAAAATGTAAAGAGTAAATATTAGGAAAAAATTAATATATTTATACATTTTCTCATTTAGTCTAAATCTGTCAAATCAGATTGAGACTTATTTCTGGAAAATGTCTCATTTTAAATTATCGAGGACATTTTTTTAACAATTTATTGTATTTTAATTGGATTCTTAACACTTTTGACCTTTTTATAACAGACTCACCAACATTTGTAAGCATTAAGCACATTTGGGAATTAGTCTGAAAGACCCATTCACTGCTAAATCAGCAATTCTTGCAAAAATTGCAGCATGAAGCCAAAAGAACAATCAAGTAAAAGTACAAGTCAGGGGATGGACACACAAAAAAATGTCTAAGACATATGAACCTGAAACTTGGATTTCAGTAAAATCCATTGTCAAGAAATGTAAGAGAGATGGCAGATGTGTAGATCTGCCAAGAGAGGATAGAGGTCACCTCTAACGGCGATGTAGGAGTTATGAGCGTCATCAGGGAGAGACTGGGCGACCCAAAACCGTTTCCTTAGGTTTTTCCCACCAGTTGAAGCTTTTTGGGAGAATGGCAGTTAGAAGGCCACTGTTCATTACATTACGGCTCAACTAGAGTTTCATGTGGGAGACTCCATGGTCAAGTGGAAGAAAATTCTTTAGTCTGATGAGACCAAAGTGGAGCTTTTTGGGCATCGCGGAGGACAATATGTTTCCCTCTACTTCAGAGGACATTTATTTTACAGCAAAACAACAAGCCAAAGCATCCCGCCAAGGCTGCACAGAAATGGTTTGAAGACTTTATAGTGGTATTTTTACTGGGGCAGATGTTCTGGAGACTGCATGCTATGTTTGCAACCAAAGGTGCATCTAGTAAATACTGACTTGAAGGGGGAGAATATTTATAAAATTACTTGTTTCATGTGTTTAACCGTCTTTATTTTGTTCATTAAACATTCTTTTTGTAATTGTTGGGGGCAAAAAAGACAGATTTTGTGGATGATGATTGATTTGTAAATGTAATAAGAGTAAAAATCTTACCAATAAGGCACTGTATAAATAGACTACTGTTTGTTTTTTATTTTTTTATGCCCAGGAAAAGGCCCATAACCCAGTAAAAAAAGGATGTTGGGCCCAGTACCGTGTCCCTGACTCCAACAGCTGAGAATAACCGTCTTATTTTTGTTAGCTATAAAAAAAACAACCTTGACTGAAGCCATCCCCTCTAATAATGCCAACTAAATCCATGTTTGCATTTTAGAACCCCTAAATGATTTGGCTTAGAAGCAAGAGGATTTCCTATTGTCGTCTTAACGTCTCACACCAGCAATAAAACCAATGCGACATGTGGGAAGAGTATAAAAGTGCTAAGGATGCTTTACTGGATTCAACTTTGTAAAACGAACAAAGGATGGTTAAAAATAATAAGCCTTAAGCTGAAGGGAAGCAAGGTGTGGCTGCTGCAAAGATGAGCATCCTATCTTTCTTTTCTTTTTGCTGGTGCTTTTCATTTTGAAGCCACCGTTGCCTCCCTCCTCCCTGTGTCTTCTTTGTCCTTCCCAAGGTCTCCTCCAATGCCAGTCTACAGTGTTTTTTCTGATTTTTCTTGTTCCCCTCCCTCGTCCTGCCCCTCCCTCCATCAAAGCAGGCTTGTCCAGAGCACTGAGGTACCTCTGTTCTGTGGCTCAGGAAAAAGATGAGAACAGCAAAGAAGTTTCCAGCAGCAAACTGCTGTGATTTCTGCGTGCATGTCTGTGAGCGCTCAGGCGTTTTTCCCTGGGCGGCAGCAGCTCCGGTGTTTTCTCACCTCCTAGTGTTACGTTGCCGTGTAGAAAACGTCCCTGGTAGATCAGCCTCAGGATGTTTGGACTGCTGACTTGCTCCTCTTCCCAGTCTGACAGAAAGGGACGGAAACAGATGGGGAAAAAACATTATGGAGACAGATGAAAGGATATATTTCTTCTCTAAATTTTTCAAAACTTTCCCAGTAAATGGATTTCATATCAACTAAGACATACAGGTTCAGAAAACAACAAACTGTGCAGTCAAAGGAAATCCAAAGTAAATGGAAACATGGTGAACAATTACATTGTTGTTCAGAGTCATGAAACTGTCCCAGGCAAAATATTATTTTACACATTTACAAAAACTAAAACAGTTGTCTTTGTGAGAGGTGCTGCAGGATTGTAGAAAGAAATGCAGTAAAAGAAGAGCCAAAGGTGTGGATTTGAAAAAAAAAAAAAAAAACTGTAAGAGAGAAAAACAGTGGAGGGAGTTTCACAGCAACAGAGTCTGGCCACCAGATGTTTGTCTCTCGCTGAGTGGAGGGTGTTGTTGCTAACCGAATAATCTGTTGTCTGGGAGGAACATGGGGCGCTTCCCAAACCGAAGACTCTGGTTGTTGAGGAGAACTCAACTTCATCCGGGAAATTTGTGGGATTTTTATTTTATTTTTTTTTTTCCTTTTTTTGTATTCTAGCTTTGTAGAAAAGCAGGACGCTCCCAGCTCCGTGGGAAAATGCCACATTTGGTTAAGTTCAGGATCAGGAGTATCAAATGCTTCTATCTCTGGCGCAGCAGCAGCTTTTAAGAGGGTGGATGTTATTACTGAGATCCCACATTCCTGGATGCAATGATAATCAAGGGAAAAGGAGTTCACTTCTCTTACTTAACACCAAAGATCTACAGAGATTCTCACTTACCTAGAGAGACGGACATTTAAAAATAGTTTTTGCTTATACAACAGTGTGCCTAATTGATAAAAAATTACGCTGCATCAGCAAGTTGCAGGCTTTATGAAAACATCAGATGCATAAAGCCTAATTAACGCAATGAAAACTTAGTACTACGGTCTTCAAAAATAGATCTGAGATATAAACGTGAGAACAGGAACTAATCGTCAAACTCTTCAATAATTCTTGACCTCTTTCTATTTGCAGAAAATATATTTGAGGATTTCTTTAGTAGAGTATTATGTAAAATATTCAAAAGACAATGTGGCTTGGAAAGTTGAATTACCCAGGTACAATGCTGCTTGTCATGTTACTGGCTAATCCAGGAGATTGGCTGTAATCCCAAGAGCAGAGATGAGGAAAACCTAATATTAGCTTCTGGAATAGCGCTAACAGAGTTTCCACGTTTCCTTTAATGTGCATTAACATGTATTTTGTGTTTAAACTATTAAAATAAGAATGAGAAATACATTTTTACAAAGAAAAGACCAGAAGATGTGAGGGAAGGTTACGTTTGGGATCAGCAAAGACGGATCAAAACTTAGCAGGAGGTTTGTTTGAAGTGGGACCTTAAATTAAAAACACTTTTTCGGAGCGCATCCTAAATTAAAATAGAAATATTGCAGCTGAGCTGCTAAAAGAAGCTGAACTGAATTGCACCGTTTAAATGCAGCAATGCCTCATGTTATCGAGGGCTGAGGACCTACATGTTTTAAATGGGCTCCTGCTTCAACACACCTGATTTAAATCATGGGTCATTAACAGGCCTTTACAGAGCTTGCTGCCATGTTTACGAGGTAATTCCCATGTTAAATCTGGTATGTTGCGGCAGAGAAGCATCTAAAACATGCAGGACAAAGACCCCTAGGGACTGGAATTAAACACCACTCAGTTAAGATTTACTTAAAAGATTACAGAGGTCTTAAAGAGAGAAAATCAAAGCTGTGAAAAAGAAATCAATTTTCTCTGTTCTATATTTGACTTTAAGGAGCTGAACTATAATTTAATGTTTATTGAGAGGCTTTACTGTGGTGTTTTAAGTAATTTTTAAGTCCAGTTGTAATAACTAACCATTTTATTATGAAATGTATCAGTCAAGCAAAAAGTAACCAGAGAAACCAATCCAAAAGCCAAATTATGTCCTAGCAACAACAGATAAAATGACAAAAAAACAATTTTACATCAGATCTTTTGCTAGTTTGTCCCTCACTGCCTGTTATAAAGTTGGTTCTTCTTTCTTGTTTCCATATGAAGATAAATGATAACATAAATTTACAGGCATCAAACTGCTACTTTTGCATCATTGGTGTGATAGCCACACAAGGCCCATTTAAAATATTATTTTTCTAGCAGTTTGCTGCTTTACCCAACAATAATAGAGTGAAATATATTATGTGGCACACGTATCAAAACAAAAATGCAATTACGGTAATAAAATAAAGGGAAAAGACGGGGCTACTCACCCATTGGCCAGTTGTCATAAACATGTTTTGCAATGTCTGCAGCCGAGTCGTTAGGAGAGAAGAGGAACTCTTTCGTCTTTCCACTGACCAGAATAAGTCGCAGATTTATCTGTAACACAGAGCAAAAGACACACAATGTTTTAGAAATGAGTGTAGGGTTCAATAATGCAAACGTTAAAAATGAACACCACAGTGGAAAACAGATATCTCATACTTAATGTTGAATCGGCAGGCATACAGGTTCAAACAAGGTAATTTAATAGGAAACAGGAGGAGGATATGGAAACCCTGTGGAGCATCCTTCCGCTGAATCAACTCCCATCTGTCTCCCAAACTTCCTCCTCCCTACTGTAACTATATAAATATATATATATTTTACTTTCGGTTCCCAGCTTTGTCTCTTACTGGCAGCTCAACAGGTTCCCACGTAAAGCAGGAATAAGAGGGCCAGTAATAGTATGTCTGTTAGAAGATGAACATTAAAAAGTGCAGTAAGAAGTTTGCATCATCTCGAGGCATTAAAGCTGCATTTATTTTGTCCTTTTAATGATTTATTGTCATTGGCAATACAACTTCAATGACTCCTAATACATATTTTTAATCAGAAAATTGAATCCACAGGGTGTCAAACTCACAGTCAAACTCACATGCAAGTTCAGATATCCAAGTATACAACGCCCTAATCTTTGGTTAAATGTCTTTTAGCAAGTTGTATCAAGGCATCAACAAGCTTCTGATATAATTATGGAAGTATATTCAGCCTCATTTCTTGCCATAATTGGAAGAGTTCATTTAAAATAAAATGGTCTAGATCTGTGTTTGAGATCATTTTCTTGTTGGATCACGATGAAACCGTCTGGCTTCTTGTCAAGATAATAATCCACTTCTTTTGCAATACACTTGAGTCAATGGCAGGAAAAAGGTCCCTCAGCAGGATACCTCCACCGCCATGCTTAACAGTGGCAAGGGGGAAGCCTGACTTAGACCCCTTAATACATATTTACCAAATATTAAACCTATAAATAAGCTACTTTAAACAGTTTGTTTCTGATTGTTCAATAAATTCATCCTTAAGCTTCTGCGACCAGTTTTTTTTTTTTTTTTTTTTTTTTTTTATTTCAATGAAAATATATGCATTCTGACATGGACAGACTTTGTTGAAACAAGTTCTTAAAAGCCTAAATGTGAAAGAACATCAATCCAAACCTTTGCAAGTGTGTGAAGCTGCTGATATGTGTCAAGGCTGTTGCAAATATCTGCTTTAATTTCCAGGGGTACTAATAATACTGCATTCCTTTTAGAAAGAAAGGTTAGAGTTTCAAGTCAACTTTTGAGAGTTTCATAGTAACCCATTGTGCAGTAGTCAATACAAATTAGCTTTCTTAGAAGAATTTTTAAATTATTTATTCTGAGCAACTTCACCATAAATACGCATAAACTAGTAAGTGTGCTAAGGTGTCCCTAAATGCCTCATGTTTTCACATTTCTCATTAAAAATGCAGACGTTAACTGGGATTTCTTATATTTTGCATCATTTATGTGCAGCATTGAGGCAGTAAATGGCCGTAACAGGAGCATTATTCACTGCTGCGTGCGCGTGTTTGCCTTTTGCTTATTTCTATATGTGCGTCTGGCCTGCGGTGCACACATGGAGAAAGCACGTGTGTCATTGTCGGCAGTGTGTTTCCATGTGCTGCGGCCTGAACGCCACACACCCCCTGCCTGGTCCACGCTCACACACAGAAATCATATACAACTTCTCCCGCACGGTGATGTAACAGGGCTAACACCGACGGATTGAAACCGAGATCTCTGTAAACACGTTGCCAAATCAGCTTATAAATTGAAGCTCGGACGAGGCAAACAGAGACGTAAACAAACCCACGCACACACAAAACAGATTAAAACACAGCCTCTTACTCTCCATCTACACACTGCAGTGGACAATCAATATATAGAGCCGCCACTGATTGTCGATTTTTGTCACTGTCAAGCACGAGCTTATCTTATAATGAAAATACTTTGAGATAATTGAACAAAGTCTGATTGGCTTATTATGAGAGAAAAGGGGAAGTTTGGGTTCAGACAGAAAATGCACAGTAGAGTCCATTTAAGTTTGAAGCAAACGGTTTTTTGATGTGTTTAAGTATAAATCTCGTGCTGTACAACAGCAGAGTTGCTCAAAAGCTCCATGCGAAATGTACAGCCATTGGATTATCAGAAATAGCTAAAACAGTAAAAAAAAAAAAAAAAGATGCAGCAACAATAAAAATACACAGCGGTTCCCTGCTGTGGGTCATAAAACAAAAAAAGGAAAGAAAAATCAACCAGGAAGATAAAGCAGATCATTTATAGTGAGTTGCATAAGTATTCATAACTCTGTAAGTTATTTATTTTTTTTTTTTTTACATTTGATCATGTAAAAAAAAAAAAAAATTACCGTAAAATTTAATCTATGTTACTGTGATTCTTTTTAGATAAACAGAGCCTTGGGAAACCTCAGAAGCTTTTCCACGCTTCATCGTCATTCAAAAAATAGAAATCATGCAGAACTGCTAACATATCAAGATATTTACATAAACTTAAGCTAATCAGAAGAGTAGTCTAGTCAAAGTCCAGACAGGTTACTGCTCCGAGATGCTCCTCATCCACATTCGGCTGCATCTGCAGTTTAAGGTGCTAGAACTAACTAAAATCCCCAAAAACACACTTCAGTCAGTGGTTGTGGGGGTCAAAAAGTGCTAAAAAGTTGAAGGGGTCTGAATAACTGGCACTTTGTTTGACTACTAAGCTGTCAAAAATACCTGTATAAAAAAATTAGACAGAATGAATAAACCCTCCTTTGCTCGCTGCTGTAGTTGGTGAAAGAAAGCTTCAACTACTAAGATGACAAAGTCGTACTTCTAAGTAACAGCTGAATGTCACAGTTGAACTATTGCCCACACTGGCACACAGAACAAAGGAAGTCACTGAAGAAGCCCTTTCACACAAAGACGCGGTCGCTTCTTCCTGACGGAACACCTGGTCGTAACCATGGCGTCACCATGGCGACAGTCGGTCGTGGGAGGCTTAACCTGATAACACCTACAAGATAGCTTCGCCAGCCCCCTCCCCAAGCCCAACACCCTTTGCTCACTTTCCTCGGCACATGGTTCTTGCTTCCTCTCCTCGCAGCGATCTTCGCATCCTTTCACTCGCTCCGTCTCCCTGCTTCACTCTGAAACTCACTCTGCCTCACTCCGTCAGGCTCCGAGTCTGCACAGCGTACAGTAGGGCGATGTGCAAGACTGGAATATCAAGAGGCACAGAGCTGGGCTGTTTCTGCTGTGCAACCTGCACAGCAGAAACTAAGAATATCCTCTCTGCTGTCAGAATTCCTCAACGTAGGCTTCTTTTTGTCTTCCCTTTTCAACAGCCAGTTAAATAAAAACATAAACATATATGTAGAGGTTTAAATCAGATTTGTGATGGAGGGTGTGAGGACAGTCTGTACTTCGGTTAGGTGGAGACATGATGTAAATTGGGAGTCGGTTCTGCTGTCGTTTTCTCTGGATGTGAGTTTTGTTTTCACCGGGTTGAATCTGAAAGTGAGAGCTCCTCTCTTCCACATCGATTATTGTATTATTGTATCCTGAACTGAATGTACCGTCCTTTGTAATGCAACATTTCCAACCTCTTACCTCATGACAGGTTACAGGCACAAACTTTACTTTATTAGGATTTTGTGCTATAGCCTGACAGAAAATGATAAGTACATTTTGTAAGACAAATATTACTGTAGAATAATAGATATTTAAAAACTATGTTTTGTATATTTTGTCACTCTTGAGTCTAAAAATGATTATAACTGCCTATTTTAATACTTAAAACACCAAAATATGCATTATAATGCACACTGGTAGAAACTAACATTGACCTTTTCCTTATCTTGGCTCTTTGGGTTACAGCCAATCAGCATCAAGGAAAATGAATGGTGCTTCTGGATTGGCTGCTTTGCAAACACCAGTCAGTAGCGCGTCAAGCAGCATTGTGCCTGGATAGCTCAGCTTCCCAAGCTGATTTATCTTTTCATTATTTTATTATTTACTCTATGAAAGAAAAAGAAAACTTTTGTCAGCAAATAATTTGTAGTCACACTGGTGAATCTCTGCTGTACTTCTATAAAATTTCAATAAACTACAGGTTTAAAGTTTTAACATGACAAAGTGAAGCAATCAGAGTATTAATACCTTTGCCTGGCATTGTGCTTCACTTAAGCTACTCTTCCTCTCCTTCCTCCATCTCTCCCTGAGGGTCACTGCGCCTTCTTCCTGGATTCTCCTCAGTAAACGGGCCGGTAATGAGGTTTCAAAGCAGCCGAAGGAAGGATATTCAATTAGAATCTATTTTCTCCAACAAATACACAAGCTTCGAGTATTGGGTAGGGCACCACTTCATGCTTCAACACATGCATATCTACAGACAAAATGCTAATTGCGCATGAATGTCAGCCATATGTCAAGTGCACGCTCCACTGCTTTGCAGAGTTCGTGGAGGGTTTTAAAGAAGGGGGAACAGAGTGTGTACTTCTCTGTTGCAATGTGAGGATGTGAAAGTGTCTGTAGCTGTAAACTGTCAGAATGCTGAAACTTTGCGTTGTTCTCCATTCTTGATTCTGAAACCATAAGAGCAAAAAGACACGCAGTCTGCACCGGGAAGGCTGATGACGCGGATCAAAGGTCTGCAGGCCCCTAACTGCGTAGCATTCAGATACAACGCAACGATGTCTCTTGGAGCGCCACACCGTGTGAACATGGAAAGCAAGCAAGTCCCTCTTCTGCTAAACACTGTTTGCAAAAAGAGGAGAGCAGGAAATTCAATGCTGCCTGTAATTATTGCAGCCCAACTACAGCTCTCAACTCTTTCTTGAGGCAACAGATTGTGTGTATCTGTGGGCCTCTGTTTACAAGTGCATTAAGGAGTATTGCTGCTCTTTAGACACTCTGCAGCAGTCAACAAATTATAGAGTGGGAAGTCTTCCTGTGGGAATATATTAGAGCGGCCTAAGCAGTGAGCTTGGATGGCTAACTGAATGAATGAACTTAAGAGCGAAGGAGTTGTTATAAGTGA